AGACGGCCCAAGAGAGCCCCCAGGAAACCCGAGAGGACCACCAGAGGATTCCTACATGGCCGGAGAGGGAGGGCCCCAGGAGGGCACTAAGACGGGTTGAGCTCCCCACGACGAGCCAAGAGGGACCCAGAACGGCCGAAATGGGCCCTCAGACGGGCCAACAAAGGCTCCAATTGACTCCAAAGGAAGTTCCGGAGAGGCTCCGGAGACTGCCACAATGTTTCCAAAAAGGCTCTCTGGCACGCGTACCAGTAGGCACCCGTGTACTGGGTGCGTTGAGAGGAGAAGGAGGAGGAGGAGGAGGAGGAGGAGGAGGAGGAGGAGGGAGGAGGAGGAGGAGGAGGAGGAGGAGGAGGAGGCGGAGGAGGGGGAGGAGGAGGAGGGGGGGGAGGGGAGGGGGAGGGGGAGGGGGAGGGGGAGGGGGGGGAGGAGGAGGAGGAGGAGGAGGGAGGAGGAGGCAGGAGGAGGAGGAGGAGGGGGAAGGGGAGGGAGGAAGAAGAAGAAGAAGAGGAGGAAGAAGAAGAGGAAGAAGAAGAGGACTAATCCTAAGAAGAAGAAGGAAGAAGAGGAGGAGGAGGATAATGAGGAGGAGGAGGAGGAGGAGTACGAAGAGGGGGAAGAGGAGGAGGGGCATGGTTATTGTAATATTATATTGTTCTCGAATTCTCTGGCTCGGGGAGGGATGCTGAGGACGAGAAGGGAAGGGGAGCGCAGGATGAAGAGGGCTCGAGAGGAGGACGGAGGTGAAGTAGGTGAAGGAACACAAGGAGGGACACACCGAAGACCGGGGAAGACAGGGAGGAGGAGAAGGAGAAGGAGGAGGAAAAGGAGGAGGAGGAGGTGCAGGAACAGGTATCCCTTTCAGGTAGACGCCGACAAGGAAACGTATGAGTATAATAGATTGGACGAGGGAGAACGGAAAGAGGAGGAGGGTAAGGGGATTGCAGTGGACCAGGAATGATGACGGTGATGACACTGATGATGATGACGATGACTATGCTGACGACGACCAGCAAGATGTTGATGATGCGGATGATGGTGCTGAAAAGTACGATGGCGATGATGGCGATGGTGATCACGATGCGGATGATAATGGTCATAGTGATGATTGTCGTGATGGTGATGGTGAAGGTAACCATGACGATCACGATGAAGATGTTGGGGATGAGGATGACAATGATGACCATGATCATGACCCTAGCTAGAACTTGGGCGCGCGCGAAGCGTGCGCGATGGTTCTAGTATGTATATATAAACAAATCTATATGAAAAGTACCCAACGAATGAAGTTCATAATGATTATTGGGTCAAGGAGGCGCCCTGATCAAGGTTGGGGTGGTTACATCAAGCGCTCGACCACTGCCGTTTTAGATCTCGCACTGCCGCTGGCGTGAATGATTGGGCGCGTGACTTTCAGTGCATCAAACAGTAGACCCGGGAACAGATTCAAGCGACTACCGATGGGCGATTGAGCAAGAGGCTCATGGAGTGTTATCTCTGGCACTTTGCACATGCTGAGCGACAAGTTGGACACCAGCGAACACGCTGAAGCGACAACTGAAGACGATTGAGCGATGCACGCGGCCTGGCGTCTAGCTGGGACAGGATTGTCTGCCGTAGGGGACCTCTCTCTCTCTCTATATATATATATATATATATATATATCGTTATTTCTTTCTTTTTTGTTTTTTGATGTTTCTCTCTCTCTCTCTCTCTCTCCCTCGTTTTTTTGTTGCTGGTTCTCTCTCTCTCTCTCTCGGCGGGCTCCGCGGCGTCAGTGCTCAGCGCGGTGGCGGGGCGAGACCAGGTCATTGCCAAGTCGCCGTGCCAGTCAACATTGAGGGAGGGGGGTCAGCGGGACTCTGGCTTCCACTTTCCACAGTGTATACCGCGGCGCGCTTGGGGTCGACCTCGCGTTGAACCAGTGGCCGCGCCCACCCCCAGAGGCCCCGCCCCCCCGCCCCCCGCCAGCGAGGCAGCCGACAAGGCGGTCCACAAGGCAGCTAACGAGGCAGCCAGCGAGGCACCCCACGAGACAGCCAGCGAGGCTGCCGACGAGGCGGCCAATTCGGAATCATATGTCGCGCGCTGCCAACAAACAAACCTAGCTCGCTCACTGGCTCGTGTTTTGCCCGACGAAGCAGCCAACTCGAATCGCATATATTTTATGGTGGGAGCAAACCGACCAATCTTGTGTACTGGTTCGATCGGATTTTCTATTCACCGTATCGGGGGCCTCGCCGATCTATCGGCGAGGTATCCCCGATTCCAGCTCGATGTTTCCCCCTCTGGGATGGCCCCCTCTCCTAGCGCTGCCCCTTGCCAGCACGCCCCCGCGCGGCCTCGGCGCGGAAATTCTGGGAAAATGATTCGGCGCGGCAGGGGCAAGCCGACCCCACCTCGCCCAAGGCGCTCTTGGGATGCGCCGCCCCTCGGCCCTAGATTTCTGACGACGTTTTTTGGTCAACCGGTTGTTCTTTTTTTGTTTCTCAGAGGAGGCAAGCGTGCCCATGCCGCTACCGTCGCCTGGTTTTTGCCTTTTTGGGCCTCCTGGGAGGCCGTTGTCGCCTCCGCTGGATTAGCCTTGAGAGTTCTTGCCACAATGCACCCGAAGACAGGTCTGGGGAGTAGCGGTACAGGTACCTCTTAGTTTCCCCCGTTAAAGCCCCCGGGGGGCATTCTCGGATTCCGGGGCCATCAAATAGGGCCTTGCGACGAAAACTTCCCCCAGGGGAAACGGTTGGGCCTCTTTTCTGGGGCCGCGGAGAAAAAAACACACCGTCGGATGGCAGGGCCGCCCGCCTCCCACCATCTCCCTGCCCCTCGCCGCCCGGCCCGTGCCCGGCGGCCTTGCCCCCTCTTTTTCCCCAGGGGGTCGCTGAGGGGGATCGTCTCAACGTGAGGGGAGCGAACCCAGCTGGATGCTCACACTTCATTTGTTGGGGACCATTCAGACCAGCCCCCCTCGGACCCCACCTCTGCCCCGCCCCACCTCTACGCACCCCTCCCTCATTCCTTAATCCCCTGCCTGTCTCCCCTCCCCTCCCCTGCGCCTCGCGCCCCCCCGTGCAGAAAAGACGGCCCGCGGCCATGGAAGGCGACCAGCCGCTCCCCTGCACGGAAAAATCCTCATGGGCACCTCCGTCGCGAGCGCCGCGAGGCGCTCGATTCCCCCCCGCAGGAGCAATGCACGGCTCCACGGCGCGCCCGAAGAACCTCAGCAGCTCTCGCTGGGATGCATGGCCCCCGCCCCCCAGGGGCGCCCAGGGGCTGCGCCCCTCCCCGGGAGGCGCCCCGGCCCGCGGGTCCCCGCGGGCAGGCCTCGCCCCCACCCCTTTTCAGGAGGGAAAAACACACAGACACAATGAATCGTCGATTCCCGAGAAATTGTGGGAAAATATGGGAAACGGGGGGGATGACAAAAACGTAGAACATATGTTTTAAAAAAGGAGGGAACCTTTTATGTGTGTGTATTTCTCTGTGTGTCCCAGGGCCCCTTCAAAGCAGGCCTCGCCCCCACCCCTTCCTCCATTTGCCGCCCCCCTCCGACTCCTGACCCCCCCCCCTCCCGCACGGCAGGCTCGTGTCGTGTCGGCGCGGGTCCGCCCTGGTGGCCCGCGGGCGCGCGCTCGTGGCCCGTGGGTCTCCGCGGCGGGTAGTGTCTCCGCGGTTCGGGTCCGCCGGCGGTGGGCGGGCGCGCGGGGCGGTTCCCCTCCTCCTCCCCCTCCTCCTCCTCCTCCTCCTTCTCCTCCTCCTCCTCCTCCTCCTCCTCCTCCTCCTCCTCCTCCAGGCGGCAGGGCGGGAGTGAAGCTCCGAGGCGGGAGTTTATACACGACCACCGCCTGGAGGAGCCTCGGCGGGCGGTGGATGTGGACAGACTCGGGCCCCCGGGGGGCCAAAGCATGTCCATATCCACCGCCCGCTGGGGCGCCAGGACGTCGGTTCCCAGGCGGTGGATAATTATGGATCAATCTCCGCCACGCAGAGGCGGTGGGGCGGGAGTGAAGCAGGGGTCGTCGCGCGCGCTTGGGGCGATGCTCGCGGCCGGGTCGTGTCGCGTCGACGCGGCGGCGACCCCGCCGCGGGCGTTCCAGGTTGAGCGCCGCCAGCGGCAGAGGGTCGGCCACCAAGGAGCGATCTGGCGATCGAAAAGCCGCCGGCCGATCGAAAGGTCGAACGATCCACGCGGTGTCGGAAGCCAACGCGCCAGTCGTCACGACACGAACCCGTCTTGGCTGCCCAGCTGTTTGCGGTCAAACCCCAGCACCGTGCCAGCGCAGCATCGAGGCTCGTGCAGGCCTCATGTCGCCAGACATGGATGGGCCCGACAGGGCTTACCGCGTTTTTACCACAGTTGGCTCGATTGTGGTGTTAGGCGCCTCTCGGGGGGTCTCTCGGGGGCTCCTTGGGGTTCTCGGTGCCATCTGGCGTGCTCTTGGGGCCATCTTGGTGAGTTGGCGGGCCATTTTGCGGGCTGGAGCGAAATACGGAGCCATGTATCTACGGGGCCATTGATCTGCGGATTGTGGGGCCATCTCTCTACTGGGCCATCCGCCTGCTTGGGTGCCGTGGCCTCGTGTTGCCGGAGCGAAGTGGGACGACAGTCCAGAAGGTGTAGATGTTTCTCGGCGCGCTTTCGCCGCGCAGGGGTCCAGATTCTGGACCCCTGCGCGGCGGAGGCGCCCGAAGGCTTTTCATAGAGTATTGGGTGCCTCTTCAAGCCTTCTTGGGGCTGTTGGAGCCCCCTTGGGTTCTCTGCGGCATCTGGTGTGGTACTGGGGCCGTGTCGCAGTCTTCTTGAGGCACTCTTGGGGGGCATCTAGGGGGCGTGATGGTCGTTTCTAAGGCCGTCAGCGACACTGAAAAGGAACTGGGGGGAGGACGGTACCAAACGACGTGCTGCGGCGAGCGGGAGGTCGCCCTTGGAAAGTCTCAGGAAGCCCCTGAGACATCCTCCTCTGCCTGCTCTTCTTCGCAATTTCAGCGCTCACGCACCGCAG